TGCTCACAGGAAAAAGCCATGGTTTCTCTCTGACCTCTCCTGGCATTGGAAATTCTGCTTTGAGAGCTCCCACCGCTGGCCGGGAGCCAGGGCAGCCCCGAGCTCCTGGTAATTGCAGTGAGGAGGGAGGGTGGTCGTTAGCTGCCGAGGTCTGATTGACTCCAGGGTTCCTGCAGTGGCTTTTCTTCAGGCCTCATGGGCCAAGAAGCAGCAATGCCTCTGTGGAAGGGAGAGTGTGGATGGCTTGTGGAGTGGGGTTGCTGCTTATGAAATAAAGAAAAACTTAGAATCGGATGGGTAAAAGCGACTTGCTGGGAATCCTGGGGCTTCCTGTGTAAGTCAGTTTAATAGCAGGAATATCAAGACCTGACCTTGTTGCAACAAAGGTTGGGAAAACAGTCTGTCCCTGTTAGACAGACTGAGGCTCTTTATTTGCTGCTGGTGTCTGTGGCGAGGGCCTGGGTGCCCCTTCCTATGGTGGGATCTGTGGGGCTGCGCTTGAGCCTCGGCTCTCTTTGCATTAGTCTTGCAGCAGGGTAAGTCCATGAAAAAAATGAAGTTATTCCCAGTTTACAAGAAGTTTGGGTAGAGCAGAGGTAGGGTTTACAAGCAGATGTTTGCAGCAAGGATATATATTGTTGGCTTAGCAAATAAATTAAAAAAAAAAAAGTTGAGCTATGTTCAAACTTTGGGCTGTGTTTTTATGATCATTTCTTGATGGAAGCTGTTGGCCAGTGTCAGCTGGAGGCATGTTCTGTTTCAGGTTATCTGATCGGTTGGCTGAGCTGAGGTTTCGAACGCTTACAGCTTTTTGGCGTGTGTCTGAAAATCTGAAGGTGGTGTGCTCGGGGCACACGTTCCCTCTTGCTGAGAGCATCTAGACGTGGCCGTGTTTGCTCGCGCTCGGTGGCAGGCAGCCACCCACAACCACCTTCCTCCTCGCTAGAGGAGCAATCCTTGAAGGTGCCCTTAGCTCTGGGCAGGCGGGCCTGGCAGGCGGTGGAGGCTTTCCCAGGAACCTGTGCTCAGCCGGCATCCCTGCAGTTTCCTCCTTCCCATCAGCTGCGTGTTGCTTTGCAGATGATGGCATTCAGGTGCAGGGCAGGGTGGTCCTGCAGGCACCAAGGCACCCGGTGTTGGATGAGCCTTCCCTGGCTGCACGGGGCAGGGGGCTGCTGAAATCGGGGTGAAGGAAGACCCTGTGCTGCAATACCTGCTGGCACCTGGCGTTGCAGCTGAGTTCACGTAGAAACAAAAATGACAGGGTGGCTGGTAGTAGCAATAGCAACACCAAAGCTCATCTCCCCTGCTAGTTTTGGACAGAAACCCATGTGGCGAAGGGCAAGCTGCTGCTGCGAATGGTTTTGGAGCTGATACACCGGGCTTCGTGCGTGCGTCTTGCCTCTTTTGCTTGCTTTATGGGAGATGGGCAGGTTGTTTTTTTTCTTTCTTTATCACTCTGCGCTTTAAACCTTGTGATTTGCATGGCTGCAGGCACCATCTGCTCTCCGTGCTGGCCTACAACAGTTGGCTTGACCTGGGCTTATTCTTCTCCTGCGACATGGGCAGCGTGCGGTGAACCCTTCACCGCGGCCTGGCCCCGGCCCCGAGGGCGGACGTCGCTGCCTCCCCCATCACACGGCAGCTTTGCAAGGCAGTCGCCATCTTTACCTTTCAGACCAGCTTGTCTCCTTACACGCAGAGCTATGTCAAAGGACCCCTTCTCGTCTGTGTTTGGGGTTTTTTAATACCTTTTTCCTTTTGTTTTGGTAGCTTTTTTTTTTTGTCTTGCCACTTCAAAAAAAAAAAAAAAAAGAGAAAGAGAAGGTATTAAGGCTGCAAACCTGATCTAGCAACATGACTCCAGGTGTGTGAAAGGCAGAGGAGATGAGCAGGTGTTCGCTTTTTACAAAAAAATAAAAAAAGAGAGGGGGGAAAAAAGAAAAATTACTTTCTATAGAATTAAAAATAGAGCTCATTAGCTTGAATAAACACGGATGTTATGAATGATGAGTTAGCTGTAGCTCACTGATGGTTTGCATTTTTTAAGTTACATTTGAATGAACTACAAAAAACCCAAAACCACCAAAAGCATACTTGGGCTGTAAATGTTGGTAAATGATGTGTAATGAGAAGTTTGATAGATCTGCCTTCCCCCCCGCCTCAAACCTAAGAAGTTTTGGGGGAATAAGGGTCACCTCCTTGAGGTACCTTTCATGGCGCCTGTACAGACATACTCAGCTGGATTCCCAAACACTCCGAAAAACTGGCTGCCTCTTAACCAAAGAGCTGTGAGGTTTCAGCCCTGGGCGCAGCTTGAAGCCCCTCTGCTTTTCAGGTGAAACGGGCTGTCGGCTGGGGCAAGCCTTACCGTTTTTTATCTTTGACCTCTGCCTTGGTGGCAGTTTCCTGGCAGCATTATTTTGCAGAATGAGGTTTGCCCGTGATGTAAACAGGATGTATCCATGATTGTCTCTTCTTTTAAATGCAACGTGTGTATGAACATTGAGCTAAACCATGATACTTCTTTTTTTTCTTCCCCCCCCCATCCCTTCTCTGCCCACCCCTAGCGAACAGTGCTGAGTAAGGGAGAGACAAGGAAAGACGCCTGCATGAAGACTGAGCTGCTGAAAGATATCACCAACAACAAAGAGGAAGGTGAGCAGCTGCCTTGGTTGAAGGCCAGACCTTGCTCGTGAGGTCGGCATGTGATGGGAACAAAACTGGGGGCTTGGAGATGTGCTCTGTCCCCCCGAGCGTCTCAGGTGTGCTCCCATGAACAGAGTGGCTCCGTTCTCCTCCTGTGGTATTCTGAGCAGGGCTCTTCCCCAGAAGATGCAAATTTGCATTTCAGTCCATCCATCTCCACCCACCTAAAGAATTATATCTCATTTTCACTTCTGCTTTGGTGTGGCTGTGAAGTGCAAAGGAGTTACTTTGAACCTCCTCTGTGTGACTGGTTTTAACTGAACTCTGATCCCTGCCACATGATGACCTAGCCCTTTTCCTCCCTTTATTAAAGTTAACTTTCTGTTTTCCTATGAGTTTATTGCTCCAGAACAGGCACTGATCGCTGCAGGATGGCTGGTGGGGTTAGACACTCCACACCTCGTGCCATTGTGGGATGCTTCGTAGCTTCTGCATTGTTTCTGCTTGCTTTTACTTTGCAGGATGCAGCGCACATATTAATTTAACAAAGTCTTTCCTGCGTGGTTGTCTTGTGAGTTGCATGCACACAAATCTGAGGGCTTAATAAATGTGTCAGAGGGATTAGGAAAAAAAAAACCCACTGCCCTTTATCTTCCCCCCTCCCCCCCTTTCTTTCCATGCTTTATTATTCCTTGACTAGTTACTTCTCATAGCTCTGCAGGGATTTGGTGTATTTTTGTTCTCCTTTCCATAATAAAGCATTAGAAAAGCACTGAACTGGCCCCATCAAAATACCTAGTCTTAGCTAGAAACAAAATTTTGGACTTAATTCAGATGTGTGTGAGTACAGCATTGCTTTTTCTTTCTCTTCTGTCCAGCATAATGTTTTGTCAAGCTGCTGTAGTTAAAAAGTAAAGCTCAGAACAGGCAAAATATTGAACACTGCGTCAGATGTGGCCACGGTGCTTGCATATTAACTGGGAGCACGTGAGTGCTGCTGCTGATGCCGGTTGCGTATGGACCTCTGGTCTGGGCAGACCAGAGACGAAGTCTGAAATGTCAGTGGGAGGTCGTGTTGCTCTGGGGGGAGACTCTCACTTTGATCCCTTGCATTGCTTGGCTCAGGACTATAAAGCTAGTTTATTTAGCTCTTGGTTGATCTTGAGGTAAGTGTCAAGAGTCTGTGGAGGTAAAAATCCAGAAGGAGGGTGGGTCTTGTATGTCTTGACTGATTTTGGCTTAAAGCAAATGCTGTGTATCAAAAGGAAGCTGAGAACCCTCCCTGAGCAGGAACAGTCTCGAGGCTTCACGAGGCGCTCAAAATCCAACCACTGCAACTTATTGTCCGGTTCTGGTACTGGGGAAAGAAAGGTCCTAAAATGTGAACTGCATAGTCTCCATTCTTGTGGTAATGTTCAGATTGTATCCTTCTCTTCCCAAGCATGCCATGTGTGTAAAAGACAATGGTTTGTGTGGTCATTGTGCTATATGCATTGTTCTTTGCTGACCTTCGTTACCCAGCTGTGATTGTCATAGGAGTTCAATTAGTTAATGTCCCTAAAGTCTGTTAATAACAGTGTTTAGTGTTGGCAAAGAATTTACATTTTTGAGTGTTGCGTGAACATGAAATCATTACAGCAGACTTGCAAGACGGCATGAAATAGTTTCTTTGAGCCCTGTTTCGTGACTCAGGGATGGGTGGCAACGTATGGAGCTGGGATGCGTGGACTGGAAAAGCACCCTGAAGTCTGTGATTTCTCTCTTTAAGTTTGCTTGAAGAGTCATTTTCCTTTAGCGGGGAGGATGGGACCAGTACTGTCTAGTATCTTCATCGATGACATAGACAGCGGCATTGAGTGCACCCTCAGCAGGTTTGCAGATGACACCAAGCTGAGTGGTGTGGTCGACACACCTGAAGGACGGGATGCCATCCAGAGAGACCTGGACAAGCTTGAGAAGTGGGCCGGTGTGAACCTCATGAGGTTCAACAAGGCCAAGGGCAACCCCCAGTATCAATGCAGGCTGGGGGATGATGGGATTGAGAGCAGCCCTGCGGAGAAGGACTTGGGGGTACTGGTGGATGAAAAACTGGACATGAGCCGACAAATGCGCGCTCGCAGCCCAGAAGGCCAACCGTATCCTGGGCTGCATCACAAGAAGTGTGGCCAGTGGGTCAAGGGAGGTGATTCTGCCCCTCTGCTGTGGTGAGACCCCCCCCTGCAGTGCTGCGTCCAGCACTGGGGTCCTCAGCACAGGAAAGACATGGACCTGTTGGAGCGGGTCCAGAGGAGGCCACGAAAATGATCAGGGGGGTGGAACACCTCTCCTATGAAGAAGGGCTGAGAGAGTTGGGGCTGTTCAGCCTGGAGAAGAGGAGGCGCTGGGGATACCTTTTTGCGGCCTTTCAGTACTTAAAGGGGGCTTATAAGAAAGATGGGGACAGACTTTTTAGGAGGTCCTGTAGCGATAGGATAAGGGGTAATGGTTTTAAACTAAAAGAGGGTCGATTCAGGCTAGATAGATAAGGAATTTTTTACAACGATGATGGTGAAACACTGGCACAGGTTGCCCAGAGAGGTGGTGGATGACCCATCCCTGGAAACATTTAAGGTCAGGTTGGACGGGGCTCTGAGCAACCTGGTCTAGTTGAAGATGTCCCTGCCCATGGCAGGGGGTCCTTGGTGGGCAGTCGTGGTGTTTTCGTTCTTCGTTCCTCGAGTGGAAGGTATTGCAGAAATGCACTGTTGTTACCAGCTGGGATGTCCACTTCTGGATTCATTCTGGCACTGATAAAGAGAAATAATTGAACTATAAATTTAACATACATCTGTAGGAACAAGATCTTTGCATGTTCCCGGCACTTTCATTTCCAATTCTGGGATTGAGTCCCAGCCTGCCTAAAGCCCAGTGCAAGTTGCTCACTAGACTCAGTGTCCCCTTCTGTGTAAAATTGCTCAATACAGATAGGAAAAAAAAGCTGTGGATAAGACTGTGTTTTGTTATCCATGGGGAAATGTTTAGTTTTACATGTGGGTGTGAGTTTAGGTCCATCTTTCCCTTTGACAGGAAGGGGAAAGGGGCAGGGAGATGGAAGAGATGAGCGGAAAAAAGTGAGCGGAAAAAAGTTTCTCTCGTGTTTTATTAGGCCATATTGTCTTTAGTCTGACTCACAGAGAAACTAATTAAAAAGTGGTTTGTTTGTAAGAATTGCAAGTGATTTCAGTTCTTCTCCTAATGTACATAGCTCCTAACTCTGAGCTGCATCTTGCTTGACCTTTCAAGGCAAACCGCTCCTTTTCTGATTCCTCAGCCCCGGAGATGGAAAGTTCCACTAAAGCAGCAGCACGAAAGAGCAGGAAGGGGAGTTGTTAACGAAATTCTCCATTAGTGGCGGCGTTTCTAAGACTTCACCCGAGGCAGCTCTTTTACAAGAGCAACGATGCTGGATCATAGTGCTGGATGAGACATGCACAGTCACTTTGCTCTCAAATAAACTTAAAACCGCTTTTAGAGAGTGTCAGGGTTTTAAATTCCTGGAGGGGCCTTTTTTCTTTATTTTTTTTGTTTCTTTTTTTCCCTCTTATTGCAGATAGGAAGCTGCCATGAGTGAGGAAAGTGCTGCTTTCCACTGAGCAGCTGCAACCTTTGCATTCCCAGGTGCAGAGATGGCTGCTTTAAAAGGAGGAAAAGAATAATCTTCTCGCCTTGCCGTACTCAGCATTGGAATCCTCTGCTGAGACTGACAGCCAGGAGACCAGACAGAGAAAATTATGCTTAGGTATTTTAGATGTTCACCCAGATGTGCACCCAGGTGCTGCCCGTGTTCGAGACCCCTGCTCCAGGGAGGCTGCGCCCCACGGCAGACAGGCTGCAGCAGCAGAAGAAATGCGCTCGGAGCCTGGCAGCCCCAGAGCAGGAGTATCCCTCAATCATGGACGGGCTCGTGGCCTCGTGGCCAGCGCTGTAACACCGTGGACCCGATCCCATGGAAAAGGAGCGAATTAATTTCACGCAGGCTGTTAAACTGCTTTGAGTCACCGCCGGTATTCACAGGCAGCCCACTGGCGAGATGTTGAATCCCATTTACCCAACCTCGGTATAATCTCAGTATTGAGCATTAGCAGCAGAAGTTGGGGTTTTTTTTGTTGGGGGGTTTTTTTTGGGTGTTTTTTTTTTTTTTTTTAACTTTTTTGACTCCTGGCGTGTCTGACGGGAGGTGGGAAGCAGTGACACTGCCACAGGGTGACAGTGCTCCAGGGCACTGGGAGAAGTGGCACTTACGTTTTGGAAATACAGGGCCAGGCCTCTTGGATGGATATCACCCACCTTCATAGATTTAAAAGGGTGGGGGGAAGAAGAGACCATCAGTAACTCGCCCCAGAGAGGAATTTCGGCTTCAAACACTTAATTCTCTTCATTTCTTGGCTTCAAAATGCTCCACTTTTTGGCTTGAACGATAGAGGTGGTGCTTTCCGTTCCAATGGATACAGGATCTCTAGCCACCAGTTCTCCCTAGTCTGTATGGTTTCAGTCCCCATCTCTTTGTCATCCTTTTTATGTCAGCTGGGCTTCCCTCTGCTTTACAATTTTCTTTTTTTTTTTTTTTGCTTTGAGGAGGGAGAGGGGAGGGAACTGTTGTAACACAAGGATTATAAGCAGGTGCATTTCTTGCTTTTAAAAGTTTTATCCAGCAGGACAGCTGGGTATTGAATAAATGACTGTGGTATCTGTGGTGTTTTAAAGATGATCTGCAAAGTGCTTAAGGTAAAAAATCTGTGAAATGTGTGTATATATAAATATAAATGTATGTGGTACTTACTTGTACTGCCATTCAAAATCGTGAGCTTTTCACTTAAGATCTGTCTTTGCTTAGTTCAGAGTTTGATGTTTCTTTTGCGGCAGCTGAAGCCTCGTGGCTCTGCTGAAGGCCCAGAGCTGCCCTGCGCTCTGTGCTGGGAGCACTCAAAATGCATGGAAAATATCATGCAAGACATGAGCAGTTGGGTGTC